AAAACATAGGAATTCGGGTACTCCTTGACGTCGGCCGGAGTGGCTGCCATGGCCTTGGCGTCCCGGACGTAGGTACGGGTCGGGGCGCTGAAAGACTTGTCGGCGTCATCGGCGAAGTCCATCACGTGCTGGAGGGTGGAGAAGAGTGGGGAGTCCAAGCCCATGACTCTGAGATCCATCTTCCTCTTGTTTGATGCTTAGGGAAAGAACACAGGAGAAGGAATGTTGGCGCAAAGGAGAATGTTGCTATAGGAAACGTTATGGAAGAGATGTTTTACTTGCGGGGAATGGTGACCGGTTGGTTCGGTTTTATATGTGTTGTGAATGAACTTAAGGAACCGAAGGACGAATTTTCTGGAAGTATTGAGAAGAGCTGGAAGGAGGTTCCAGGAGCTTCTGTCGCATTCCTCGTTTGGATTCTGGAAGTTGACGGAGTCAATAGACGATAATGACCTTGTCATTTGAGAATATTACGGAGGGAACTTTTTATTTGGATTAATAATTTAATTTTTTTCTAAGAAAAAAAGAAAAATAAAGGAATACCGCTGATTTTTACCTGAAATTTCAATTTCTACAATTTTACATTTCATTTAATTTTAAAATTTCAATTTCATAAAATTAAACTCTTTAATTTCAATAAAATAAAGTTTTGTACAAATAAGTTTAACCAATGCACAGATGACCCAACGGCGCTACGTACGTGGCTGTCCATCTAGGAAGCTACCCTCCACGTGGCCTTGAACCTGGAGCGACGTGGCATTAGCAGCCGAAAGCAATTCTCCGACGTGGATTAACGAAGATACTTGGCCCAAAAAGACCAACTTTCGTAATGGGCTTTGAGAATGGATTGGCACAAATGGGCCTGAGGCAGTACCGGCCCATGTTTCGGGTTGGTAGCCCACAGAATTCCATTTCCCCCCATAAAACGCTCCCTGTTCTTGGGTTCTGAAAATGTGAACCATTACCAAGAGTCGATGGTTTCCGTTGATCGCACAAAAACCGGCCATGGATTTGTAAATGGATTGATCAAAAGCTAAGCCGTCGTCACCTTTTTGAACATAAGTGTACAGAAGTGATGAAAACTGAAGCCTTGAGCTATTGGCATGTGTGTCGGAGAAAAACTATGTGCCGATCCGGTTCTGTTGCCCGAGTCTCTGCTTCTTCACCGCCCCAACAATGGGATTTCAATCAAACCTTAAGAATGCTTAGCCTCTGGCTTTCGTTCTCGGCTTTTGGTTCATCCCTAAAAGAGGTTAATATCTAAAAATGACCTCGACATGGTGATGGACACGTGTCCACCCTCCTCGATCCTCAAAACCCTCGCGAAAATCCATAAATCTTGTCCTTCCCTTCGTCTTCAGATCTTTATATTCCTTCCTCCGCCTCCATTTCCGCTCTCGCTGCTTTCTGGGTTTTCTACAGACCCTTTTTCGATTTGGGTTTGCGTTTGTTTGGCGCTGGAATCACCTGATTTCCCGTTTCTCCCCCTTTGCCTACGCGGGTTGATCGTATTGGATTCTGCCATCTCACACTCCATTTCCAGACAAACGTAAATACTCCACTTATTGCTGTTTTTGTCTCTTGTAGTTCATCTTCTGATCTCCCTTTTTTTGTTTCTATGATGACCCTTTTCATTTGGGTCTTTTCTGTATTTCATTTTTGAAGTTTTGTTTCTGTAAATTACTTCTCTTACACGAGATAGGAGCTTTGATTACATAATTTGTAGAAGGAAGACGGTTCATCTGGTTTCTGGGGTGGTTTGTAAGTAGCTTTAGAACTGGCTAAGATGAGCCTAGATGCCGCTGAGGATGAATCAACCTCTGAAATTCATATCCCAGCAGAGGTTGATTGGGATATGTTAGACAAATCCAAATTCTTTGTTCTGGGTGCTGCTTTATTTTCAGGTGTATCAACCGCCCTTTATCCTATTGTTGTCTTGAAAACTCGACTTCAGGTTTCTTCTACCAAGTTATCCTGCTTTAAAATGTCATATTCTATCATGCGCCATGAAGGCTTAAGAGGATTTTACAGAGGGTTTGGAACCTCTTTAATGGGAACTATCCCAGCTCGAGCCTTTTACATGGCAGCTCTTGAAGTTACCAAGAGTGGTGTTGGAAGTGCAACTATTAGGCTAGGTCTTTCAGACACCACAGCCATGGCTGTAGCTAATGCAGCTGCAGGGTTGAGCTCTGCCATGGCTGCTCAATTGGTCTGGACTCCAGTAGATGTTGTAAGCCAACGACTAATGGTTCAGGGCAGCTGTATCAATGCTAAGAACAGTGTTTCTAATCTTAATTCTTGCGTTTATAAAAACGGTATCGACGCGTTTAGAAAGATCATTTATGCTGATGGCTTGCGAGGATTGTATAGGGGATTTGGGATTTCAATATTGACATATGCTCCATCAAATGCAGTTTGGTGGGCTTCTTACTCTGTAGCTCATAGATTCATTTGGAGTGGTCTAAGCTACTACACAAGTAAGAAGGATGAGAGTTGTATAAGTGGATATGGTTTTAAAGCAGATTCCAAGGCAACAGTGGCAGTTCAAGGCTTGAGTGCAACCTTTGCCAGTGGGGTTTGTGCTATGATAACAATGCCATTGGATACCATCAAGACCAGATTGCAAGTTTTGGATGGAGAAGAAAATGGCCAGAGACGCCCTCTAACAGCGTTGCAGACCGTAAGGAACTTGGTGAAGGACGGCGGTCTGAATGCTTGTTATAGAGGGCTTGGACCGAGGTGGGCTTCGATGGCTATGTCTGCAACCACCATGATCACAACCTATGAGTTTCTCAAACGGCTATCTGCTAAGAACCAAGATCGTTTGAGCTGATCACTCGAGCGGGCGATGACAGATATACAAAGGATACTTTGCAAGTTACATGATTGCCATTTTCTGAGTATAGACTACATGATTGCCATTTTCCCGTATTGCTGGGTAGACATGGTTCACGATCATACTGAATATGGCATGAAAACTTGTAATGTTCATACCTCATCAATAAGGCACTTCATTTTTCCTTTCATTTCTCTTGTACACATGTTTGTGCTAATATAAACTAGTTATCAATGATTTGTATTATATACTTCCAAGAAATATAATCTTCTTCTAGGCCTATCTTATCTAGCTTCTTTTTCGAAGTTTGTTGTTGGGCGAGGAACTCGAGCATTGATGATTATTGCCTCTTGCTCGTGGTCTACCCCGCGGATTGATTCGGGAGTCTTCATTCACTCTAAGGTTGGTTCTAGGAGTTCTAATGATTATACATTGTTAACTTTTCTCTCTGAAGATCTAACAGGAACTCGGAGAATTTTTCAAATATTTCGAGCCAGGCCGACGCTAAGAGATGTGGAGTTTACAGAATTCAGAAGCTTCTCTGAATTTAACATGTTCTAAAGTGAGAATCCATTGTTGTTTATGTCCTTAAGCTTGGTATTTATCTTCTGAAGTGATTACCTGTCTGTTTGTCTAGAGGATTGTAGTGCATACTGCCTTTTGATTTGATGTTTATTGGACTTTCTCCATACATATTCTCCTTTCTTGTGTTCCCATGGTTACGAGAAAGGTACTCGATTTATAAGGGTGTGGAAACCTCTCCCTGTTTTAAAAATGTTGAGGGGAAGTTTGAAAGGGAAAGTTCGAAGAGAACAATATCGGCTAGCGGTGGGCTTGAGTTGTTACAAATGGTATCAAAGCCAGACACCGGGCGGTGTGCCAGCGAGTACGTTGGGCTCTAAGCAGGGTGGATTGTGAGATCCCACGTCGGTTGAAGAAGGAGTCGGTTGAAGAAGGAAACGAAACATTCCTTACAAGGGTGTGGAAACCTCCCAATTTTTTGTCATGGGTCACCATTATACTCTTTCAAATCCTAATTTTTACATGATCTTGACGTTCCCGATGACGGGTTTTGCCGGGGAAGAAGTAATGACAGAGGGTCTCACAGTAGAACGCCGATAATCCACGTCAGCAGCGGCAGCTTCACCAGAAATGGAAGAAGGGAGTGAAACTGAGATTGTCGTCGGTGAATAGAGGGTAATTCCGATGGAATTTTCATAACGGGAACTCGCCGGGATTCTGAGTGAAGGGATATAATTGTTAAAGCGCCGGAAGTAGTTTATTGCAGTTGGCGCCGGCGGGCGGTTGGGTTTTTCGAAAGAAGTTAGCACCAAAATTGACTTATTATACAATTTTTTTTTAATAAAAAAACTATTAATTAAAAATAAAAATTTATTATATTCACTACAGTTTTCAGAATATTTATTTTATTGCATTTAGTAAAAGTAATTAAATAACTTTTTTTTTTTTTTTTTTTTTTTTTTTTTTTTTTTTTTTTTTTTTTTTTTTTTTTTTTTTTT